CCTATTTTCCCTATCTGTGGTAACTAATAGAGTATAAAAATGTAATGTATATGAGTGAAATTGACACTCTGAGATTTGACTACTGTTTACAGTCCTTGTCTGTACTATTGAGGAACAGTGTTTTTTTTTGCTGTTATTGTTTTGTTTTGTTTTTCTTCTATTTGTTGAATTCCTCACTTAGTGGAAAGTTAAGGTTATGATTATAAAATAACTGAAATTATGTCATTTTTTAGCTTTTATTTAATAAATATAAATTTCCAAATTACGTCATTGTAAAAATTACAAGAAAGAATAAGAAAGGAAGGAGGAAGGAGGGTGGGAGCATTGGCTGGGGGGAGAGGAGGGTTGGAAGTATCACTGTGTTTCTAAATTTGTATATATGAAACACATGAAATTTGTCTACCTTATATTAATAAAGACTATAATGCTCTTGTATCTGTATATATGAAATATATGAAAATTTTCAACTTACATAAATAAAAAGAATTGAAAAATTCTCAAAATACTAGAAAATTCAATACAACATAAGAAAGATCAGTCACCATGATCAATTAGAATTTTTTCCAAGTGTGTGGGGAGGGGTCAACATACATAAATCAGTAAGTGTGACACACCTCTACAAACATCCATCACAGTGAAGAATAAAGATAATATCATCATCTCAATATACAAAGAAAAAGCATTCAATAACATTTAATCCCATTCATGATAAAATAAAAAGCTTAAATTATGTATAGAAGGAATATATCTCAAAATAATAAATATTATATATTACAAACCCTCAGACAACATCATACTGAATGAGGAAAAGATGAAAGTATTTCCTCTCAGATCAGACAAGAATGTCTACTCTCACTGCTCTTATTACTACGGTACTGGAAATTCTAGCCAGAGCAATTAGGAAAGAGAAAGAAATTAAAGGCATAAACAAAGGAAAGAAGGAAATCAAATTATCTCTGTTTTCAGATGACATGATGCCGTATACGGAGGACTAGAGACTCCACCAAGAGACTATTTATATTTGAGAAAAAAATCAGTAAAACTGCAGAGTACAAAATAAACACATAAAAATCAGTAGTGTTTTATACACCAATAATGAATTTACTTTGAAAGAACTTATAAGATGAAACCCACTCAAAATAGCTGTAAAAAATTAAATACCTTTGAATAAATTTAACCAAGGATATGGAAGACCTCTACAACAAAAATTATAAAATAACATTAGTGAAGGAAATTGAATAAGGCACACGGAAAAATCACAAGACTTTCAATGTCCATGGTTTGGGAGAATTAGTATTATACAAATATCCACACTATCCAAAATGATTTAAACATTGAACATAATCCCCATCAAAATACCAATAAAATTCTTCCTTGGTATAAAAACAATCTAAAATTCATATGGAAACACAAAAGACCTCAAATAGCAATAATAACCCAGAACAAAAAGAATAAAGCTGGAGGCATCACAATACCAGGTTTCAAGACATACTACAGAACTATGGTAACCAAACAGCACGGGACTGACATAAAAACAGAAATACAGACTAAGGGAACAGCACAGGGACCTTAGAAACAAATTCACACATCTAGATAACTCATCTTTGGCAAAGGTACCAAAATTACTCTCTGGAGAAAGGATAGTCTCTTCAAGAAATGGTCCTGGAGAAATCAGATATCCAAATGCAGAAGACTGAAAGACCTGCTCCCTGCCTCGTACCCTACACAATAAAACAAACAAACAAAAAACAACCTGAAAATGGATCTAAGACCTAAGTGTGAAACTTGGAGCTAGGAAACTAATAGAAGGAAACACAGGGAAAACACTTCAAGACATCGGTATAGGCAGCAATTTGTTGGATATGACTCAAAGTACAGGCAACAGACACAGACATAGAAAAATGGGACTGTTCAGACCAAGAAGCTTCTGTAGAGAAAAGGAAACAACCAACAGCGCACAGAGACAACCTACAGACTGAAAATATTTGCAAACTGTTCATCTGCGAGAAGACTAACATCCAGAATATCTATGGATATTAGCACTCAAAAAACTCAACAAGAAAATAAAGAATCCAGCTATGAAATGGCAAATAATCTGAGTAGACATTTCTCAGAAGTACAAATGGCCAACTGATATGTGAAAAAATATTCAGTATCACAAGACATCAGAGAAATGGCAATCAAAAACAGAATGTGTTATCATGACACTAGAGTTACAATGGCTATTACCAAGACAAAAAGAAACAAATACACGTGACAATGTGGAGGAAAGGGAACTCTTATACACCGATAGTGAGGATGGAAATCCGTGTAGCTTTTATGGAAAATAGCATGGAGGGTCCTCAAAAACTAAAAATCAGGGGCCTGGAGCTGTGGCACAGCAGGTAAACCTGCTGCCTACAGTGTCAGCATCCCATATTGGTGCTGGTTCGAGTCCCAGCTGCTCCACTTTTGATCCAACTCCCTGCTAATGAACCTGGGAAAGCAGCAGAAGATGGTCGAAGTCATTGGACCACTGCATCCACATGGGAGACCCAAAAGAAGCTCCTGGTTCCTGGCTTTGGATTGGCCCAGCTCTGGCTGTTGCAGCCATCTGGGGAGTGAACCAGTGGATGGGAGATCTCTCTCACTCTCTGCCTCTGCCTCTAACTCTGCCTTTCAAACACATAAATACATCTTTTAAAAAAAATCAATATTGTATACGACCCAACTTTTCCATTCCTGGATGTATATCTAAGGAAAATAAAATCAGCCTATCAAAGAGACACCTGCACTACTATATTCCTTGTAGCACAATTCATAATAGTCAAGTTACAGATTCGAGCTTTAATTCCACCAGTGGATGACTAGATGGAGAAAGTAGGGTATAAATACACAATGGAATATTAGCCATAAAAAGGAATGAAATCACGGCATTTGCAGCACAATGGATGGAACTGAAGATCATTGTTTACAGAAGGAGGTTAGACAAAGACAAATACTGCCTGTTCTCTCTCATAAGTGGAAGTAAAAACCAAAACAGGCCGGCGCCGCGGCTCACTAGGCTAATCCTCCGCCTTGCGGCGCCGGCACACCGGGTTCTAGTCCCGGTTGGGGCGCCGGATTCTGTCCCGGTTGCCCCTCTTCCAGGCCAGCTCTCTGCTGTGGCCAGGGAGTGCAGTGGAGGATGGCCCAGGTGCTTGGGCCCTGCACCCCATGGGAGACCAGGAAAAGCACCTGGCTCCTGGCTCCTGCCATCTGATCAGCGCAGTGCGCTGGTCGCAGCGCGCCGGCTGCGGCGGCCATTGGAGGGTGAACCAACGGCAAAGGAAGACCTTTCTCTCTGTCTCTCTCTCTCACTGTCCACTCTGCCTGTCAAAAAATTAAAAAAAAAAATACACATTTAAAACAGTGATTACTACAGGCTGGGAAGGGTGGGATTATAGGGATAGCATGGGGTTGTACAAACAGGTACCAAAACACAGTCAGACAAAGCAGCCAGTTCTCCTGTTCCACTGTGCTACAGGGTGGCTGTATTCTGTGACTTAATTCACAGTAAGGTATTATATGCCATATGAAGAAGAGGAGGAGGCTAGGAGCCTCCTAAATAGGCTCTGAATACAGTAGAAATAAAAAGAAATGGGAAGGCTTAGTTGCCTAGTTTGGTTGGTGTTTGCTGCATGTATATGTGTTGAAATACTGCACTTCGCCACATAAAGAAACACAAGGATTACATGTTTATCTAAGGGAAAAAAAAAACTTCTTGGTTTCAGACAGACCAATCAGAGTCTTCATGGTAGGTGAGGGAGGAGTACTCAGGTGACTTCCTGAGCTGTTTCCAGCACTTGTGTTTCCAGCACTTGCTTAGCCCTGGGTTCTGACACACGCTGATATCCTACCAAACTCCCAGTCCGCAGAGTGAAGGTGGAGGCGCGACTTCCTATGTACCACGTGCCATCATAAACACTCCCTGCCGAGTTAATCATGAGGCCCAACAATGACGGGTGCAGTGGGAAAACTGGAATCTAGCCCAGCACTGCAGTAAAACCTACTTTGGTTTCTCTGTAGAAATAAAAGAAATAAAAAAGTAAAACCACAGTAAAGGGCCATTAAGGGAGAAAACATTTGTCACCGTGGACAGAATAAAAGTCCCACCAAATGAAATAAATGCCTTGGGAACAGACGTGTCATGCTAGAACGTACAGCGGCCCTTTTTGTCTGCTCTTCATTTAGTTTTCATCCACTCGACGGACTAAGCCTTGCCCTGCACCCTCTCTTTTTTTTTTTTTTCCAGCTGTGAAAGATGCATGGAGAGAATTTAGCTTTTGGTTAGGTCTTTGTCAGTGTTCTATATGGTACTATCTCAACAGTAAATGCACTTCCAAGATGAAATGGCTGCTCTACAAACAGGCTTCTTCCTTAAGCAATAATATTGTTAAGTATTTTCTAAACTGTTAATTCACACACACACACACGTGACCCCCCCCCCCAAAAAAAAAAACCCTATATTATCATTGATAAAACATAAAGTGAAGACCCCTGGTTGAACTAAATGAAAACACTTTTTTCAACTGTGATTTAAGAATTATAAAAATATAAAGATGAGACTAGTTGATATTGACAAATACAGTTTTCCTTTTCAATTTTCTAAAATAGAATTTATCCATAAGGTAATAACTAATTGAAAGTAATTATGATATATATAGGCACTTAATATCTCAATTTGTTGAAACTATTAAGTTAAAATTTATGAACCTGGGAATAAAATTTGTTCTAAGCCAATTTGGAGTATATTTTATTTCTAATATCCTTGTAACACCCCATGGAGTATACCCTAAGTATGACAAATAGCATGTCACATTTCTTTTCATTTGTATCTCCCAATGAAATCAAAGGATTACAATCTGCGCATAATCTACTTCCAAAACTGCTACTGAAATACAGCACGACTATTCTCCGTTTTAAAAGCATCCCTCAAAATTCATAACTGCAGAAAGAAAAATGGAAAAATTAATACCAACCTTAAAACTGCGAGACGATCAGAAGGCAAATGTGTTTTTTGGAGGAACTTGACTGAAACAACTTATTCACGGAAGGCTTTTCAAGGACAGCTGTTCACAAGGGAAGCCCCGTCTAAGACAGTGCAGCTCGGACATGCCAGATGCTTCTGGAAGCAAAGGAAAGCACACCATTAGGAAACAGCCCTCATGTCGGAAGGTACCGTATTGGCACCTGCAGGTATTACTAGATGACGTTAGGGATTTCTATTCATTTGGTGCCCCTTCACCAACAGCGGGGTAGGCCATTAACCTTTCAGTACCTCATTCAGAAATTTCTAAAGGCGAGGATTTTATAACAAAGCACAGGGATCCCTGCTATCTGATCAGGCTGGGTCTGTGCACACTGTGGGCACCCGTGCTGCTCCCTGAGTCACTAAGCGTCTGTCACGCAGGAGGCACCGTGTATCCGTGGACTCTCTGATCGGAACAGCCCTGCAGTTTGAGCGCCAGCTCCATTTTACAGAAGAGAAAACTTAACACACAGATGGCTGAGCTCAAGTCACAGGCCCTAAGCCTAGCTCGTTCCTTCCTCTCACTCTGTGCCGTACATGATTCAGAAAAAAAAAAAAAATCAAGCACAGAAGTGATGGGCGAGCAGATAGTGCTGCGATATAGAGAATTAACTCAAATATGACTAAATGAGCAAAGAAATCATCTTTCCTAATGTGCTCTACCTTCATATAAATTATTGTCTTTATTCCGTCAGGCCTAAAGAAACACAGACGCCCCTCTTCAGGCAGTGGACTTGTTCTCCCACTTTTCCTCCTTAAGCAAAGACACAGGGTGCGTTGGAAATGGAGGAGCTCCCTTGGGTAGGGCATGGGTTCCCAAGCTCCAGCTCGCTGCATCAGTGGTGGTGATGTACATCTCTCGCCTTCCCCTGGCCTCTCCACGTGACTCAGAGCTCCCCTGCTTTGGGTGGAAGAGGATACTTAGTCTTCCCAGTGCAATTAGCAGCAGAGCCCACATCCTCTGTGGATGTCACTGAGTGATGGATGTGGCTACATCCATCGTGATGGCTGGGGGTGATGGAGCACGCCTCAGCACCGGCTCTATCTGGATTTCCCTTCTCGTCTCTCGTCAATTATCTACTTGTTTCTGGTGGTCTGGTGCCAGTGCAGACAGGCCCACAGCCTCCTTCCACCAGCCTTCCCAACACCCACTTTCAAGGTACGTTTCAGGGTCAGTGCCCACCAACTGAGCACTTCAAAGTGTCCCTCCAGGTGCCGGCTTCTACTGCCACAGACTGTTGTCTGGGTCCTGGAAGTCTGAGCTCATTTCCACCCTGAGCTTGAAAGGGAGAGAGTCGGGAAGGTCGAGCCTAACTTTGAAAATTTTTAGTTTCTTTTATTTTTGGCAACAGAGGCTAAAAACATGAATACAGAAACAGGGGAAGAAAATGATTGATAGCATTTTCAAGTCCCCAGGGGGGAAAAAAAAAGAAAAACGAACAAAGCAAAACACAGCCAGCATATCTTTGCATGAAAGAAAAGCTTGACAAAGAATGGGGAGACAAGTATTTGGACCACAAAGTCTAACCTAAGTGACAGGAACGCAAGATAAACAGAAACTCTTCCTAAAAGTGAATTGTTTAGAGCCATTGCCTGTAATCCCACTAAATGAGGGTCTTTCTGCTCTTTACTTGTTAAACTTCTGATTCGGTGATTTGGTGAAGTATTAAGCCTTCTTACTATAATGTGAATTTAAAATGTTACCTGACAAAAGAAAAAAAAAAAAAAAGACCAACAGAGAGGTAGAAGAAAGGGTGGGGGGAGGAAGGGAGAAAAAGAATTATTATGTTCTTAGAAGTGTATCTATGTATCACATTGACTCTGTTAAAAAATAATTAAAAATTAAAAAAATTTTAAAGTAAACATACTAACTTTCCTTTTCTTCATCATGTAAAAGCAAGTGTCAGGTTATATGCCTAAGCTAACAGACCAGTTTGCCAGAAAACCCCAATGGCAATTTGCAATTATTTGACCAGTCACGATTTATCGGGTACTTTTCAGTCAAACAATGTCAGAAAACTCCAAGAACACTGGAATAGCAAGAGAATTTTTTCCTTAAGCAATATCCTGTCTTGTAAAGGGATACAACTAAAATGCCAAAACATATACGACGGTGGCACCCATTGGTGTTTCAAAGAATGGGGTCTGGGATTAGACTGTTGCGGGTATTCTGGCTCCATCACTTATTAGCTGTGTGACCTTGACCAAGGCACCCAAGTTCTTTAACCTGAGCTCCCCCCACCTGACACATTTTCTTCGAATACCGTTTTGAGGATTAAGTGGGATGAGCCAGATAAAATGTCTGGTGCACTGAGAAGCAGAGAGTCAGAGCCCACGGGGGATCAGGAAATCACAGTGGCGGTGCTGGACGACACAGCCTGAGGACCGCAGTGAGGCTGCAAGTGCTTTGGGGCTTCAGAGGAGTGAGCAGATCCCCTCCGTGGGCGTGGGCATGGGCGTGGGCGCTGAGGGCAACACAGCAGGTGTCAGTGAGGAAGCAACCATTTAAGACCAACTTAAACAAACACACATAAACGGTTAGGTTTTCAGGGACATCCTGTGGTGATAACTGGAAAGTCAGCAAATGAGGTATTTTAGGGAGGAAAAAAAGTCCAGGAAAGTAGAGATTATTTTTCAAAATTCTGTGTACGGTAGATGGCTACCATCACAACACAGCAAGGAAACGAGGCAAAGAAGAAAACATACGTATTGCACCTAAGAAAACTGCCATGTCCCACAGGCCCCTGCTTTAGTCAGCTGTAATCCAAAATGACATGGTGGCTTTCAATGGAAACTGGCAAGCTCTAGACATGACATTTTTAAACTGAGCCTCAAATTTAAATCCTAGAGCTCGCAACTCAAATCTCCAATGTGACCTTTCCTGGGTATTGTTCAAGAAAACACGCCTGTCACTGTGGAGGGAAACCACACACCCTTTTCCTCTGCACAGTGTAATGAAAAGATGCACTATATTGTTAGAGACACAGAACCACAAAATGACTGTGGCCATGAATCTTTAGAAGTCATGAAAACAAAGCCTTTGTTTGACTTTGTATCAGTCATTTAGAAACGTCTTATTGCGTTAGCGAACATTCCTGTTTCCTCCACGTTCTGGGCTCTGTTCAACTCACAAGCTTGGCAGGAATCTCATCAGTTATGGATTTAAAATATAGACTCTCAACGTACCCCCTTTATAAGGGCTCAGTGAGACAAGCCACGCTGCCCACGCCAGACCCATACAACACTGTACTGACTTGGAGGCCCACATAATATTGTATTAAACAGAAGAACAAAAGTACACTTCCCTTGCTTCCCAGCCTGAGGGTGTCTGCTTAAGGACAGTGCCATGCTTCAAATGCCCCCTCCGAAACTAACATGCTGTCATTGTGTTAGTGTGCAGAGGTGGGAATCTTTAGGAGGTGATTGGGCCATGCCATCTCTTCCCTCCTGAATAGGATTTAAGACTCTTATAAAAGAGGCTTCTCATAGCAATCAGTAGAAGCATTCCTCCCACCCCAAGGATTACCTGGAAGCAGGGAGCAGTCCCCGCCAGAAAGCTGAACCTTACAGCATCTTGATCTTGGACTTCCTGGCCTCCAGAACTGACAGAAAATCATTTTCCAATAAATTATCCAGTCTATGATATTTTATTAAAATGAACTAAGATAAATTGGAAGCAGAGAAGTGGAATACAGTTACAACAAATAGCTAAAGATGCAGACAAGACTTTGGAACTGGGTAACAGGTACAGGCTGGAAGAATTTTGCAGCCAAAGCTGGAAGAACCATGTATGGATAGGAAAGCGGCATTAGGGCAATTCTGGTGAGGGCTCAGAAGAAGAGTGCTGTAAAGAAAGGTTCATTCTTCTTTGGAATTACTCGGGTGGCTGTGAACTGAGTGTTCCTTAGAAATATGGATGTGAAAGCTATTCTGTTGCTATCTCAGACAGAAATAAAGACACAGGATACTGGAGAAGGTACAAAAGCCCTCTTTTTTTTTTTTTTGTTAAAAAGTACCCAAATAATGTCTTGTCCTAGGATTTTGTGGAAGGTAGAACTTCAGAGCAATGAACTAGGCTATTTGGTGGAAGGAATCTCTACACAGGGAAGCATTCAGAATGCCACATGGAATTTGTTAACTGCTTATAGCAAAGTGCAAGAGGAGTGAAATGACTTGGCAGATGTTACAATTAAGAGAAGCAGAATGTAAAGATTTGGGAAATTCTCAAAGTGGCCATGTAAAGAATAAAAGAAGAGTGTTTAGGATAGAATGCCTGGGTACGACCAAGCAACCACTCAGTATGAAGATCAGGAGAGACAGAAGAAAGCCAGATCATCATATGAATCATCGAGACAATGAGAGAATGATTCTGAAGACATTTAAGAGAGCATCAAGATCACCATACCCATCACAACCTCAGAGTGCGAGTGCCTAGAGCTGGAGAGTTTGGAGGAAGGGACCTCTGGGCTTCCTGCACGGGGCCGCCAGCCTCCTATCTCTGTGCCCCACGTCTGCTTTCTGCAGTGCTCTTTGGCTGCTGTGGCCCAGGTGGGCCAAGGTGCAACCTGGGCCACCACTGCAGCAAGAACAGGCTGTACAGACTCTGCAGAGCTGCAGTGTTAAGAGCTGTACTTCTACCTAGATTTCAAAGGATGTCTGGGACGGGCTTGGGGCCAAGAAAGACTTGTCATGGGGGTGGGGTTGTGGCGAACAGCTCCCACTAGGGCAATGCCCAGCAGAACTGGGGCTTGGGCCACTGCAGAGGGCCCTCGTAGGATAATATGTGAAGGAACCATACGGTTATAAAGTATATGATCATGGTGCTAGTTGGTTTAGCTGCCTGATGAGGCCTGCCTGACCCAAGAATTCATAACTGTAGAGCTACTAGCAGAAGCAGTGGGCTCCAACTCATGGCAGCTACTGTATGTTCTGCGTCCAGCCACTCAGTGGGAAGCAGTGAGCTGAGCCTTTGAGACTCTACTCCTGCCCCAGTGTGTCTGGAAAGCAAGACATGAAGATGAAGGCTGTTGTCAAGTTTGAAGATTGAACAATGTTTGCTCTGTTGGGTTTTGCACTTACTTGGGATCTGTTGCTCC